TGGGGAGGAAGACAGAACCGAGTGTCCGGGGTCTGCGGGGCGGACCAGGAGCCGGAGCCAAAGGGGAGATATATTCGAGGATTTAATGGCCAAGAACTTTCCCGCAGGGAGGACGCGGGCGGGCTCCTCAGGTTAAACTGAATGGGGACGGAGGTGCGGCACCCAAACGGGGCGGCGGGAGGGACAGCTTGGAGGGGACGGCCATCGTGCGCGCGCGCATCAGGGAACGAGGCCAGCGTAAGAGCCACCGGCCGGGCTGTCACGTCAAGGTGCCGGAGAGAGAGCTGTAGGCTCAAAGAACGGACATGACAGCAGAAGCCACCCCAACGGGGAGCGGCGACGACTGGAGCCAAGGCCCGTGCTCAACACGGACACACAGGAGGTGACCGGCGGGGGGGGGGGGGGGGGGGGGGCCCCGCCCCGCGGCCACGCCGCCCCCCCCGGCCCCCGCCCCCCCCCCCCCCCCCCCCCCCGCCAGCCAGCAGGACAGACCCTCTCCGACCCCGCGCTCCACTGCCGTCAGAGCCGGGCAGAGCGGTGCCGGTCCCTTCCCGCGCAAACCGCCACCAATCGGTCCCCGCAGTTCAGGTGCATGCGGCACCCCAGTGACGGAGCTCCGCGTTGCGCGGGCCGGTGTGGAGGAATTAGTGTCTGTCTCCTCACCGCCACACGGGGTTGCGGTTCTGAGGTCTAGGATGTACTCACCGGCAAGATGTCTCAACATCTCACATCTGCTCTAAGAGTCTTTGAGGAAAAAGCAGAGAACGAAGGTGGCAACCGGTCGCCACTGGCAACAGGCACAGAGGCCGCCGGCCCCCTGACTCGAGGGCGCGTCCTGTCCTCCAGGAAGGCCTTCCTCCGCTTCCTCTGAGACTCCCGTGGCCCCCCTCAGGCCCCTCCCGTCGCCGGGCCCCCCAGAGCGTGCTGTCCGCACGAAGGAAGACAGGGGGCCGAGGCCCGGGCTCTGGGCCCCGAGCGCAGGATGCAGGCGGCTTCCGCGACACGGGGACCAGACGGGCGGGAGGTGTCCTACGGGACGGGCAGGCGCCAGGGGTGACACCGTGTCTCAGCTGTGTCTCAGCGGCTCGGGCGCTAGAACAGTTCCTTCCGACAGGGCTGGAGGCTGGAGACCCGCGGGGCTGCCCTGGTTCACGGCCAGCCGACTTCACCCCTTCACCGTCCCCCCCCGGGGGGGGGGGGGGGGGGGCAGTGGGAAAGCACCTCCCAGAGGCCCCTCCTGACGCCATCACACCGGGGGTTAGGCTTCAACATATGAATCTGGGGGACACGAACAACGGTCCAGGACAGAAAAGCAAACCCCAAGCCACCCCCAGGGAATCACCCACTGTGTGCCTCGACCAACAGGCACACACACGTGCACACACACACGTGCATGCACACGTGTGCACGCTCACCAGGGTGACCCCCGTACCCACTGGGCGGCCCCCACAGCGTGGCCATGGGGCAGGGAGCTCGCCCACGTCTCCGTCCTCACCATGAGGCCTGGGCTTCGGGCACACAGGCTCCTGCTGCAGAACTAGGCCAGGCCCCTGATATTGCCCCACTCCTGACCTTGGGGTAGGTGAATCCTGGGACACAGGGTCAAGAGGCACCCCCTGCATGAGGGCGCGTCAGGCCACAGGCCACTGACTCAGGGTGCCCGGCAGCTGCTGGGGGCCACTGTGGACCCAGGCTCCTCTCCTCGTTTTCCTGCTCTCCCTGGGAGGATGGGCTGTCCAGCATCCGGTGTCTTGGTGCTGATGACGACCTCCCTGACCCAGAGCGCAGAGCTGCACGGACAGGTGGGGTGGACACAGCAGCCTGGGCGTGCTGCGGTCCCCACACCTTCCTTCTGCATGTGACCGTGTCCGCACTGGCGCTTACAGGCCCTGAGTCCTGCATGTACGTTAGGTCCGTCCTCGGCAACCAGCCACCTGCCTCTGCTCCTCAGCGGAGAAGCTCAGGTGCTTCTAGGGCAGTCGGGGTGTCCACCAGCATGACTGGGATGACCGAGGGCCAGCACCCCCCCCCCCCCCACTTGGCCCTGCCCAGGACAGCCAGGCCACCAAGCACCAGGAGGGAGCCTCTGGAACGAGAGCGGCACCTGGGAGACCATCAGAAGAGCAAAGGGGGAAAGGGCGCCGGGAAGAGCTGGGAGTTCAGGGTTAGCTGTCAGTGAGGTGGGGGCCCCGAAGGCCCGGCTTGGCTCCTCCCCTGGAGCGCACCATGGTCCACATTTTCAGAAAATGCTACACTTTCGAAAGCGGGAAGACAGACGCTGCGACTACTACCAAGACCGAAAAATAAAGAAATGATACAGGGGCGCCTGGGTGGCTCAGTAGGTTGAACGTCTGACTTCGGCTCAGGTCACGATCTCAGTTTGTGGGTTCAAGCCTCACGTCGGGCTCTGTGCTGACAGCTCAGAGCCCGCAGCCTGCTTCGGATTGTTTGTCTCCCTCTCTCTCTTGCCCCTCCCCTGCTGTCTCTCTCGCTCAAAAATAAACGTTAAAAAAAAATGCTATGAAGACACAAAATACTAGTTAACCTTAAAAATAAAACTGCCAGTTATTTTATCAGCAAAAGATGGATCTACCTGGGAATAACAGGATTTCAGCACAACACAAGCAAGCTCTCCCCCAGGGCCAAAAGCAAACCCCGCGATGGGGAGGACGCCATTTTAGAGAGGAGTGGCAGGTGGGACGGACCGTTGTAAGCAAAAAATCCATTGGAGTAAACTGGGAAGTATAAAGTGGGAAGTATTGAGGTTTCTCATTGGCTGAGCTGGGACGGTCTCTCATTGGCTGGGCTATGACCATCTCTCCTGGGCTCAGCTGGGACGGTCTCCCATTGGCTGGGCTGTTGCCAGGGGAGGAGGAAATCTTCCTTCCTCCTGCTGGGAGAGTAACACAGTATCCGTGAGCAAGGCGCATTTCTTCCCATTGGGTCTGCAGTGGGCAAGGGATGGTGGCCGTGAGAACACCCCCTGCTGGCCTCCTGACTCCATTCTAAACGAAGTTCCCTTACTAACTTTCACATTGCTTCAGGTTTATCGGTTACACAACGCATACGCTCTGTTTTCCACGAGGCAAAAGTACTTTCAAGACCGGAAGGAAACAGCAACCCGCGGGATGTCGCACCCACCGCTGGCTCCTCCAAGGGCGCTGCCCTTGCTCCTGCCCAGGGACTGGGAGAGAGCAGGGGCGCTGAACCAGAAGCCTGTCTGCTCAGCAAGGTGGAAATGCTCCACCTCGTATTTAACACATATTAACACAAGCGAAATAGGCAATGCAGCCGGAAAAGATCTACTCAAGGATTATGCCGTGGCATAACGAAGCAGATAAGAAACACACTTCCCTTTTGTTTGTTGGATAGTTTTTTAATAAAGTGACGCATACACGACTGATATTAAAGAATGGTCCTACGCAGGAGAGAAAACAAACGTTTTTGGCTAAGGGCTGGGTAAGGAAGAAAAAGCATGAGAAACAGCAACTGGGCAGGGGTGGGACGGGGTGAGCGCAGTCTTAACTTGTAAACTAGTGGAAACAATACAGGAGGTCTGGCCACTCCCCGCGGCCAGGGCAGGTTCAGGGGTGCAGACACGGTACAGCAGAGCCCACTTAAGTGGCACCGCCCCACCAACCCCACCATCAACTGCCCTCGGGACTGAGAAGCCGTACATGGCAGGAGTCCAGACTTCCTCAGTTCTGGACTTAACCTGACTTAACCTTACGGTTCTGTCCCAGCACTAGTGTCGCCCGGCACGCGGCAGACTCCGTGCACACCAGTGTGGCCAGCGTCGACCTTAAAATGAACGTCGGTTATTTTACCAGCAAACTAGGTTTATTCAGGAGTAACAGAACTGCGACCTGGGAGAACCACAGGCAAGCCCAAGCAACCAACGGGAGGAACGTCACTCACGGAGAAAGGAGGGAGCCAGGAGGGCTGCTCTGAACCAAAGTCCACTGGAGAGAAGCGGGGTCCAGGGTGACGAGGGCTTCTCTCTGGCCGAGTGGTCGCGGGCCGGCAGCTTCTGGTGGGAGAGCAAATGTGCGTCTTTTCCCGTGGGGGCTGGCACTGACTCCTTCCCGTTGAGGGGTCTTCTGTAGGGTCTGTGACCGGCAATTCTCGACGCCGGCAGGTGCGGCGCGAAAGCCCCCTTCTGGCCTCCTGACTCCCTCGGAGCGAGGTTCCCCTTGTTCAATGTTCACACCGGTCGGGGGACTCTCGACAGCGGCGGGGCACAGGGGAAGCCCAGTCGCGCTGGGAACACCGCACGGGAGGGGCCGCGAGGGTCGGGTCCTCTGAAGGCACCGCCTGAGACCCCGCCCCGAGATCTCCCGTGGACAGGATGGGCCCTTCTCCATCACTTACATATAAATAGGCATAAATAAACCCCCCAGAATCCGCATGTGATTCTAACGAAGACACAGCCGGCGCAGAGGAGCCGATAAGGACACTGGAGACTAAGAGGCACTGCTCCGCCCGGCGAGGACGCGGAGAAGGTTCGCACCGACGTGAAGTGGAAATTCATGACACACGTGCGCTACACGGCGCTGCCCGAAGTTCCACCCGAAACAAAGTCCTTATTTAAACCTTACACGATGAAATACACCAACTGCAACTGTTCAGGTTATAGGTTCCTAATGTAGCAGCAGAAAACGTTTATAGGAAAAATACACTTTGAATAGCTGACAAAATCTAAAAAAAGTATAAAAAGTTTAAAAAATAGATCTTAAGACAAAATATTGCCCCAAACATATAAAACTTAACTTAAAAACTGTCACCTATCTAAAATTACACAAGGCTGGACACCGAGCCGGGGACGGGCCCTGCACAGAGCTGTGGCGGGACGGAGGACAGAGGGGCCGGCACCCGGGGCGCCGGCGGGCGTCAGGCCGGCTCGGATGGCTAGCCCGAAGGAAGCCGCCCAGCCCGTTGGAGGAGGACAGAGGGCACAGGGCAGCGGGGGACGCTGCTCCGGAACGTTCTCCTCGCCGCAGACGCCCAGGCCACGCGCTCCGGGGGCCGCAGGGGCCCCTCCGCCACGAGTCCCACCGCCCTCTCAGGTCTCCACCAGGATCTCCACCGCGTGCTCCAGCTCGCCCAGATCCGACCTGCAGGTGGAACTGGGGGGCGCGGCGGCCGCGGGGGCGAAGGCGGGGGTGCCGCCCACCATGCCGGTCAGCACCGCGTCCAGGTCGTAGTAGGAGCTGTCCACGTCCGAAAACAGCTCTTCCACGGACCCGGGGGTTTTATTCTCCAGCGTTTCAAATATGTGATCCAGCGACTTCTGAAAGCCTCCTCTGCCCTCCCGGGAGCCGTCCAGTCCCCAGGGGCTGCTCTGCGGGCGCCTCGGGGCCTGTCCCGGGGCCGGGTCTGCCAGGGGGCCGTCTCCCTCGCCCTCCTGCTCCCGCCCCGAGCGGCACAGGATCTCCGTGGAGACGAGGCGGTCCAGGGGCGCCCGCCCTGCGGCCTGGGGCGCCACCACCCGCCAGGTCCCGTCCTGGGTCATCTCTTCCTGGATCTGCCGGACCGTGTTGGCTATGAGGACCGAGCGGCAGAGGTTGGGCTCGACCAGCATGTGGCACAGCTGGAGCTTGACGAGGGACATGTCCAAGAGTGACTGCCGCTGCAGAGTGTAGGAGGGGGCGGCCGGAACGCCCGCCACGCCCCCGTCCGCGTCCTCCGCGTCCTCCGAGCTCTTCCTCTTCAACCCTCGTGCGAACATCCTGCCCTGCGGAGAGCGAGGCGGACCCCGATTAGCACGTGCCAGAGTCCCCCCCAGACACCCCCAGCCCCGACTCAGTCTGCAGTCGTCAAAGGTGGGGGGTCGGGCGGGGGCTGCCGCGGCCACCCCTTCCCCCCTCCGTGAGCGTCCTTAGGTACCTGCGGCACCGCCACGCCCGGCACCCTCTTTAAACAGCGAGAAGGTGCACTTCCAGATCATTTCTCCCCGAGGGCCTGTGTGTCTACAATTACTCCCAAATAAAAAGCCTAAAACACTAAGTAACCCTAGCTTACCCCCCCACCCCAGACTACTTTTCCCAGAACAGCAAACAGGTCAGACTTACCCACAGTCTCTGAAACTCTCTACCGTTTCCACCACAGCACCTGGCTCACACTTACTTGAATCAGCGGTTTGTAAACAAGTGAATTAAAGCGTTTACCACCAAAACACACGAAAGAGGTTTCACTCACTGCTGGTGGTACAGGAGTCAAGGTTTCTGTTGTGGCGGCAAATACAACTTTTACACAAGTTTTTTCTCTCATCACTTTTGTAAAAGTCACTTACTTAGAATGGATGAGTACACTGAGAATGAATGTAAGATTAGGTCAAACTACAAGATAACCTGTGAGGGGGCGGGGGGGGGGGGGGCGGAGAATTAAGTGTCCAGGGTTCCTCTGTGGCAAACCACTGTATCTGTTCGGCTTTTTTTTTCTTCGAAAGAGAGGAGTGGGAGCAGGGGAGGGGGCAGAGAGAGAGAGGGGGAGACAGAGAATTGCAAGCAGGCTCTGTGCTGTCAGCGCAGAGCGCGAAGTGGGGCTCGAACTCACAAACCGCAAGATCGTGACCTGAGCCGAAATCAAGAGTCGGATGCTTAACCAAGCGAGCCAGCCAGGTGCCCCCCGCCCCCCACGTTTAACTTTTAGTTCTCTTTCCAACCAACTCTAAAATCCCAAACCTGGATGACAACCGATTTGACTCAGGGCCCAACAAAACTCACTCAAGTGGCCCGAGTTACCACCAGGACTCTGGGCTGCCTCTCCTGCTGGCCCTGCACGGCAAGGGTGAGCACCACCACGGGGGCAGCCGGGAGCAGAGACCCACAGCTCGCAGAGCTCAAGGCGCCACATCGAGCACCCGGCTCCCTGGGGGCCCACCTCCCTCTCCTCAGGGATCCTCTGCAAGCCCGAGACCAAGTTTGTGAGCTGTCGGTCCAGCAGGGGCCTCTCACGCCCAGGCTGGACTCGGGGCCAGCCTCGCCGGGACGGTCAACAGCGGCCGCAGACCGAGCTAGACACACATCACAGCAGGAACTGCCCAGAGAGAGCCCTTATTCATACCTGCTCCGAAAGACCGTATGCTGAGGACGGTTGCTAGATCCATCCAGGACCCCAACCCTTCCCTGTAGCAACCAGCTAAGAAAACAAAGACAAACTCACTAAAACGGAGAGGCTGGAAGGGGGAGCCAGGACCACTCACTGCCCGATCCCAGGAAGAATCGCCAGTTATAGGCCCCGCAGGGACATGAGCCCACTGCCTCCCCCACAAGGACCTGAGCACCCGCGCCACTCAGGCGACGAGAAAGCCACCACCCTGAACTCCCGCTTTCTCCTCCTCCTCCTTTCCTCCAAACTACCTCCTTACTCTCCTTTGTTGGATTTGCCTATGGCTTCGAAAAAGCTTGCTTGTCCTGTTAACTTTAAAAATAAAACTTCCAGGACACCTGGGTGGCTCAACCAGTTAAGGGTCTCTCTTGTTTAATGTTTACTTATTTTTGAGAGAGCGTGCGTGAGCGGGGGAGAGGCAAAGAGAGCAGGAGACACGGAATCCGAAGCAGGCTGCAGGCTCTGAGTTCTCAGCACAGAGCCTGATGCGAGGCTCAGACCCACTAACGGTGAGATCATGACCAGACCCGACGTCAGATGCCCAACCGACTAAGCCACCCAGGCGTCCCAAAGGTCTGACTCTTGATCTTGGCTCCGCTCGTGAGACTGAGCCCCCAAGTCAGGCTCTGTGCTGGGCACGTAGCCTAACAGTCCCTCTCTCTCTGCCCTTCTCTTGCTTGCACACGCTTTCTCAAAACCAACCAAACAAAAAACAACAGCAGCAAAAAACCTGCTAGTTATTTCACCAGCAAAAGATGGGCGTATTTGGGAATAACAAAATTTCAATCGGTATTTTTTTTTAAGGGGGGGTAGGGAGAAGAGGCTAGGGAATGGGGCTATTGTAAACAAAGTCTATTGGAATAAACTGGGAATTCGAAGTATAGAGGCCTCTCATTGGCTGAGCTGTGACCATCTCTCATTGGCTGAGCTGGGACGGCCTCTCATTGGCTGGGCTGCAACCATCTCTCATTGGCTGGGCGGTTGCGGGGGGGGGGGGGGTGGGCGGTTGCCGGGGGGAGGAGGAAACCTTCTTTTCTCCTGCTGGGACGCTAATAGGTAGTACCTGTGTGCAAGGTGCATCTCTTCCTGTTGGGTCCGCAGTGGCAGTGACTGTGAGAGCTCCCCTGCCCACCTCCGGATGCCATTTGAAACGGTGTTTCCTTCTACTATTTTTCACGCCTGGAACTGCTATTCTGTTATTCCCAAATACACCCATTTTTGCTGGTAAAATAACTGACTTATTTTTAAGGCTAACACAGCCCAGGAAGTCAGACTTCTATCTCCAGTGACAGGCCAGGAAGCCAATGACTTCTGTCACAGTCGCCCCAAGGAAAGGACTTCAATAACTGACGGCTTCCCTAATATTTGTCCCCACTTCCCAGAAAGGCCAAACGTGCTCCCCATAAAACCACCAGGGCTCCTTGCTCCCCCAGCCTGCAGGCCCACCGGGCCCCGGAACCCTGTTCCAGGAGGCAGTGCTGCCACTCGGCCGTCTGTAGCCAAGTGCAGCTACCCGAGTAGCTGCAAGCCAGGCAGTGACCCACTCCCTGGCTGCAACTGCGTCCAGTAAACAGCTTTTGCTCTTCTCACATGGGTGCCTCCACTGGTCTCCGCAGCTCACTGTCGATAGTTGAGAAGAGTATCAGAAAGTACAAGACAGGGGGCCTGGGCAGCTCAGTCAGTTAAGTGTCCGACTTTGGCTCAGGTCATGATCTCACCGTCTGTGGGTCAAGCCCCGCATCTGCTGACAGCTCGGAGCCTAGAGCCTGCTTTGGATGCTGTGTCCCTCTCTCTGCCCCTCCCCTGCTCATGCTCTCTCTCAAAAATAAACAAACGTTAAAAAAAAAAAAAAAAAAAAGAAGAAAACAGAAGACAAAAACCACCCTGGCCCTGCCCCTCAGAACCAGTTGTCACGCAGGTTCTTAGCATCGTCTTAAGCACATTCTTCTCTGTGCATCTGAGAGCTCGTTGCGAGTTCTGCTTTCCTGCTGGTCACATTTTCCACGTCGTGTAAAGGTTTACCATCACCTCCGACGGCTGTGCGTTGCTATGAAGAACAGAGCCTTGTTCCCTGACATTCACACTGCTCACAGTGATGCTGGGCTCTAACCCTGGATGTTGCTATTTGTAGCACTTGATTCCGGAGTTTCTACGAGGGCTTAAAAAGGTAGGGGCAGTTGTAGGGCTCATGATGGACGTTATCAAGCCGCTCTCTGGGAAGGCTGAGTCAGTTCACCCTCCACCAGGTTTTTCTGTATGGTTCTTTCACAATCGCTGGAAGCTCCCCTCCACCTTGCCCATTATCCCGGCTCCTCCTCCGTGCCTCTGCCATTACCCTGTGTCACCACCCCAGACGTAAACATTATTTTCAGATTCAAAATAAGCAAGTCGAATGGGTAAACTGTGGTGTGTCTGACAACAGAACGCTCCCCAGCAACAAAATCCACACTCGTCTATGCAACAGCAAGGACGGGCCTCAAACGCTATGCCCAATCACAAAGCAAGACCAAAGAAACAGGTGCCATACGACTCCATTCAGATGAACTTCTGGAAAAAGGAAAGCTAACCTAAGGTGCAAATAGCAGAGGGGCTGCCAGTGGAGGAGATGGGATCATCCAGAACTCTCCAGGACGACGGAAATGCACCCTGTCCAGACAGGAGAATGGCATTCGTCAGATTCACTGAGCAGCACAAGTAATAACTGTTCATTTCACCGTCTTAAGCGATGGCTTGATAAAGAAAAACACGTAAACGAGTTGACGGGGGCAGGCTACGTTAATGTGAATCCAAGCCATCTTAGACACTGCCTCCCGTGTATCACTAAGTGTCTGGATCAGCATGCCGGGACCAGTATGTGCTCAGAGTCACTCGGATTACTGGCTTCAAACGGGCCAAATCCTGAGCAACTGTTAGGTTTTGTTATACTCCGTACAAGAAAATGCTGGCAGACTTGCGACTTGAGAAGGACTTCGAGGGCAGCACATACAACCACAAGGGCCACTGGGCTGCCACCAGAGCCTGTGTCAGGGCGATGCGTCAGGCCGAGCCCAGAAGGTGGCCGGTGAGACTCAGCCTCCTACGTTTGTGTCTGGGACACAGCACACAATATGGTTCTGAAGGCAGTGGAGGTGAGCACACAGATCCCCCGGCTGGACTGGTCCAAGCCCAGCTTCTTGGGCAGCCCATGACTATGGCCTGGGGCGCCTGACCCTTTGAACACAGGACACGAGACCCCAGACTTCCCAGGCTGTCCTAACTGCAGGGCCTGACTCACCATTAAGTTCCGAACAAGAGAGTACAGTGAAACCTTGCACCGCGAGTAACTTGTTCTGCAAGACCAGTAAACATTTCGAATAAATTTTAACTTGATACACGAGCGGCGTCCTGTGATATGAGCAGTACGTGTCGCCAGATGTCACATGATCACAACTAGCCAATAGTTCTCTCTCTCTCTTGCTCACTCGCTGTGGGATTGTGGGTGATCATCTCC